CTTGGGATATGTTCCTAGAAGTGGGATCCCTGGGTCAAATAGCAGTTCCACATTTAATTTTTTGAGGAAACTCCATACTGTTTTCCATAGTGGCTGCACCAGTCTGCATTCCCACCAGCAGTGAAAGAGAGTTTCTTTTCCTTCGTATCCTCTCCAGCACTTGTTGTTTGTTGATTTGCTGATGACAGCCATTGTGACAGGGGTGAGATAGAACTCATCGTTGTTTTGATTTGCATCTCTCAGATGATTAATGACTTTCATCTTAACATTGTTAAGACAAAGCTTTTTGTCTAAAGATCTGTCATCAAGTCTATATGAGGGACAGTTTCTTTTTGTTTATTTCCCTAAATGGACCATACTTTCCTATTTTTTGTATGCTTTTTTATCTCTTTTTGTTGTAAAAAACTGGACATTTAAACCTAATGATGTAACTACTCCAGGGTTTGCTGTTTTTATTTGTTATTTATTTTTATTATATTTTTTATTATTGTAGTCTGTCTCTAGTCCAAGAATCAACCAGAGGTGTAAACTTAAGGTCATATCAGGTATTTTCTGAGCTGTACCTTTCCCTGGGCGTGTATAGTCACTCTCTGATTTCTTCAGTATATGAAGATATTTTGGAATCCCTACCTCCTAAAAGGGAACAAGAAGAAAATGAATGGATTTGGGAAAATGGACACTGACCCTTTAAATTCTCTTTGTGAGGCACATTAACCAGAGGAGGAAGGGCTTGTAACAATCCCTGAAGGAACAACAATAATGGCTGCTGGACTTCTTTTCTGCACTTCTGCAATCAAAAGCATCATTTAGTGATGAGACCACTGATCCTTTATATGTGTAGGACAAGTTCCTTTTTGTCTACCTTGGCAATTGCAAGCTATGTACTAGTTGGTCCAGCAACCAGCACACAGCTGCCTACCTGGAGGTGGGCTGTGGGTAACAGCCACTAGGCTGGAAGTTTAAATTGATGAAATTAACTCCTATTACTGTCCATTCCCCCTGGAAATTTCAAATATTCATTAGACCCCAAAGTTCCAAAACAGTTATATCAGAGACATTTGGCCAGTGCAATTGTTGTCTAGTGGGAAACAGATTTCTGATACTTACCACTTTGGCATTTTCTTGGAATTCTCATTTTAGTGAGTATGTTTTCAACTTTTGAAATTTTGCTCTTATTCAAATATATTTCTTCAAAATTTAGATTACTTCTCATTATCTATTCTTGAATTATGGTTAATGCATATGAATATTTTGAATATACTTATTTTAAGGACTTTAAAGTTTCCATTATTCATTTTTCTATTAAAGTACACTTTTTGTTTCTGGAATAACCTGACTCTGTACCCTATGCTGTTCTTTTTCTTTGTTTTGTTTTTACTTTTGAGTTCAAGTTTATTGTCATGTTTTTGTTTTAATACCAAATCCCTGAGTTTACTTTTGCACTTAGCAAGGATTTACAGTTTTACAAATTCACTACATGTCATGTAAACTCATTTGGAGTTCCTGTACCTGTACCTTTTAGGTTATATGTATTTAGAATTCATTATCAAGCACGATGAGTGATTAGGGCTCTGATATCTCAGTGTCCTTTACTTATGATCCTGAATGGTCAGCAGGTTTCAAGGATAAAACAAGTTCAGAATTTCATTTTGCTGATGCAATAGCTTTTTTGTAGCTACTGTCTTGATATGATAACACAGATTCAGAATGTGTTCCAAAAGATAAAGTACTTCTTCCTTATTCATAGGCAGATGTTAATATCCTAACTTCCAGTTCTTCAGGTCTTTCTCTAGTTTTGATTTACCTGTGATTTCTCTGAACTAAAGTTATTTTCACAGATCTTGACTATGATACTATTTTTTTAATTTTATTTGTAATTTCTTAATGTTTTTCTTCTTGACTTCTAAGTTGTTGTTTTTTGTTTTAATATTATATTTCATTACCATATATTTGTGACAGAAGATGATTTGACTTTGGGTAGTGGGCACACAGTGTACCATAGAAATGAACACATGAAACTTATATAATATTATTAACCAATGTCACCCCAATAAATATATATATATAGCTAATATGCAAAGTGTCCCCTCAGGAATTCAACCAGGAGACTGGGAGTTCAATTGCTCGCTATGACAGGTACTGACCATCAGGGGGTGATGCGGAACATGGCAGGTGACTAGTGGCGGCAGCAGGACGCTGAGGGAGGGAAGGAAGGAGGAGGCAGGGGATACTGCGCGGTGGCAGCCTGCAGGTGGCAAGGGAAGGAGGAGGCAGGGAGCAAGGAGGTAGGGAGGTAGGGAACCTGATCAGACCTGATTGCCAGCCAGGCCTAGGGACCCTACCTGGGCACAAATTTTGTGCACTGGGCCTCTAGTTTAATATAAAATACTATATATTGATTGTTATATCTTTTGAACAACAAAATGAGAGTGAGAGTCTCTCACACAAAAATGAATCACCATTATCAATGTTTCCATTATAATATGTATTAATTATATTTAACATTTTCTAAGATACCAAAAGTAAAGAAATTGAATCATATCTCAGAGGTAAATTGATGTAAATTTGAACAATAATTCAAAGTATTAGTTTCCTAGTTCTAGTGCTTCAGTAAGCTTGTCATACTTTCTCTTTGAATTTTTGTTTACTGAAAGGTTAATAATAGATTAAATGAATTAACAGATGATAGTTTGTAATTCAAAGTATTCTTTACATACATGTGTTTATTCCATAAAGGTTTATGAAGCACCTACCATAAACAAACATTGATTCAATTACTAAAAAATATGTTGAATATATAATGAAGAACTATTTCTTACTCCCAATTATTTTACATTCTAATTTGAGACTCAGAGAAATTTACATATATACACATACAGAGACACACACACACAGTACCATATAAAAACACAATGTAATGATATGCACTATTCGATACAGGCTAGCTAATAAGAAAGGTTAACTGGGAAAAGATTAAAGGGGCAGAAGAGAATTATAAACAGGATGATTGAGGAAAACTTGAGATGTAAATTTGGGCAGAATCTGAATGAAAGAAGAAAGTCCTTTCAAATCCTGTAAGAAGACTATTCCAAGTAAAAAGAATCAGAACTTTCTATTCTCTGGTTTGGGAACAAAAAGCATGTTCGAAGAAGATCAAGGTCATTAGTATGACTGCATAAAATAAAGGAAAGAGAATTTTAGAATAAGAGGTAAAAAATGTATCCAAGGGCCATGTGCCAGGCAGAATAATGGTCCCATAAAAATGTGCATATCCTAATTCCTGGAACCTGTGAATATGACATGTTACATGGCAAAGGGGAATTAAGATTGCAGATGGAATTAAGGTTGCTCATCAGCAAACTTTGAGATGAGGACATTATTCTGGGTGATCGGGGTAGGCCCGTGTAATCACAAAGGCCCTTGTAAGTAAAAGAGGGAGGCGGAAGAGTCAGTATCAGATGCAAAGTGAGAAAGAGTCACTGGCCATTTCTGGCTTTGAAGATAGAAGCCAAGGCATGAGGGCAGCCAAGAGAAACTGGAAAAGGCAAGGATGCAGATTCTCCCCTAGAGCCTCCTTAAGAAATAATGTGTGCATGCATGTGAGCAGTAGGACATGGACAGTAGGTTGGTGAAAGCATGTGTGGGGGGCAGAGGGAGGGAATGGCTTGGAGAGGTCAATGGGGGGAAAATGAGACATATGTAATGCCTTCAACAATAAATAATTTAAATTAAAAAAAATTAAACACACTTACACATACACACAAATAGTTCTCTAGACACCTTGATATTAGACCAGTGAAACCCATTTTGAACTTCTAATCTCCAGCACTATATGATAATTTTTTTATTGTTTTAAGCTAATAAATTTGTGTTACTTTGTAACAACGGTAATAGGAAACTAATACAGGCCATATCATATAGGGCCTCATAGATCTTTTATAATATATTTCTATTGATTTCAGAGAAGGGATAGGGAGAGAGAGATAGAAGCATCAAAGATGAGAGAATAATTGATCAGCTGCCTCCTGCAGGTCCCCTAGTGGGGATCAAGCCCACAACCCCAGCATGTGCTTTGGCTGGAATTGAACTGAGACTTCCTGGTTCACAGGTCCATACTCAACAACTTAGCCACACCGGCAGGGCGGGCCTCATAGTACTTTGAATTTTGTTCTAATTTTTTAAAACCCACTTTAGAACATTAAATTAATAAACAAACAAAGAATGCAATCTGTTTTACTGATTAATAATATTCTAGCTAATCTATGGAGAAGGCTACATAGAGTTATTAGTGTGAGCAAGGAGACTAGTAAAGAAGATATTGAAATAGTTTAGATAAAGAAGTTGAGGACTTGTACAAGGATTACAGTTATAGTCATAGTGGTTACTTCAAGTTATATTTTAAAATAGAGCGATCTGTATTATTGGTATGAGCTACGCTTCACAGGTGATTACAAAAACACACCTAAAACTGGTAACTGAGGGGTGAGGAAAGGATTTGGGAATTAGTGAATACATGCTACTTGAAGTCAGGGAACTTGAAGTGAATACTTTTATAGACTATAATGAAGAAGACAAGTGGTAGAAAGACTAAGCCATGGAATATTCTAACATTCAGCATTTGAGACACGGATAAAGATTCAGAAAATTAGAAACATAAACACTGGTCTATAAAATAAAAGGAAATCTAGCAGAGTAGGTGTACTGGAAGCCAAGTGAAATAGCATTTAAAGAAAGCAGTAGTGATCAGTTGTGTCAAATACCACTGAAAAGCAAGAAAGATGTTGAAATAAAAATGAGAAATTAATCAGTTCACCTAGGGATAGTTCATAACCTTGACATATGTAGATTTAATAGAGAGATAAAGACAAAGTACTCTTGGGCTGGATTTAAAAGAGAATGAAAGGCCAAAAAAGTAAATCTGATGATTTGTTAATCTTTATCATTTTCTTTTTAAAATTCTCACTGGATGATATGTTTATTGATTGATTGAGAGAGAGAGAGAGAGAGAGAGAGAGAGAGAGAGAAGAGAGTGATATCAATAGGAGGCAATGCCTCCTGTACATACCCTGCTCAGGTAAGAAACCCACAACCTAAGTATGTGCCCTGACTGGGAATGGAGCCCAAAACCTTTTGATGTATGGGATGACTCTCCAACAAACAGAACAACCTTGCCAGGACTGATTTGTTAATCTTTCTTTTAAAATTTATCTTTATTATTAAAAGTATTACAGATGCCCCTCTTTTTCCCCCATTGACTCCCACTCCTCCCCACTGCTGTCACCTACCCAGGCCTTCAACCCACTACTGTCTGTGTCCATGGGTTTTGCATATATGCATGCAAGCTTTTTGGTTGATCTCACCCCAACCCCTTCCCTCTGAGAATCCTCATCTGTTGCATGCTTCCATGTCTCTGGGTCTATTTTGTTTGTCAGTTAATTTTTTTCATTAAATTTGTTAATCTTATAATATTTATATGGATATCAAATACATTTATTTCATGATAATCCCAGAAAAAAAATATTGGCAGAAGTAAGAGGAAACATATCACTTGAAGACAGACTATATTGGTGGAAAAATGAAATGTTTATTGGGGCATTCATGTTCTGAAATCTAGTACAGTGGGGCCTTGACTTAGGAGTTTAATTCATTCTGAGACCGAGCTCATTAAGGAGCTGGTTAAGGAGCTCGTTAACTCAAATTACTCTGTCAATTCAATGCAAAAATCGGCCAAGAGACAGCTAGTATCTCAAAAAACTCGTTTGTCGGGACACTTGTAAGTCAAGGCCCCACTGTATTTGATGACAACTTAAGGGAGTTACTTAAATTTTTTGCGCCAGAGAGAATTGTACTATAATCTTAAATTACACTTCAAACTCTTAATAGTTACTGCCCATTCTTCCACTCCCCTGTAATGAACAACTCCTTTTCTCTGCCATCTAACAAAAGAAATCTTTATGACTCAGTTTCATAAATAATTTAATTTAGAATTCTGAATTAATTTTAGTAACAGTCATGAAGTCTAGCCAAGATAAAAAAAAAAATGGTGTTCTCTGTTTAGCTGAAAAATTTTAACCAACCATTTATTTAACAAATGTTTTATATTGAAAATGGTAGAGATACTATACACATTAATTAGAACTTAATTCATTTGAATCATACCTATTTTAATTTTAAGTGCCAAATGTGTAGTATTGCACATAAAAGCAACATTTAAAAATTTGATGGTTGTGTGTTTTTTAGATTTAAATATTTACATGTCTAGAATGTAGAAAATATCTAATTTTAAAAATTCAAAATATGCTACAGTAAATTTTGCCCAGTTATGCAAAGTCTATTTGCATTTGAAGAGTGTATATATTAAACATATTTATACTTGTCTTTGTTTTACCTTTTTAAAAAGTTTGTGGCATTTTAAATGTCACAGAGAGTATAAAAAAGCATGGAGTAAATTCATGAAAAATTTAACAATACAATTTAACATTCTTTTCTGTATGACAAAATATATATATAGCTTACTTGAAAGAAAAAAAATATGTGGCTTATGAAAAATTAAAACGACAATCATCACATTTTTCCCATAGCTAGAGTATTTTCAGAAAATAAATCTGTAGTAAACATAATATTCTGAAGAAATTTTTACCCTTGTTCTTCTTTTCAGTCCCCCCAACCAGAAAAAAAAAATGTGCTTTTGAATCTTCTTTCATTGTATTTTTTTATAATGCCATAGACATGGGAATAAAAAAATGAGGTCTATATTTACCAGTATTTACATCAACATGACTGCCAAATCTACATTAATTTTTATTATTACATAGACTAATATTAAGTTTCTCAACATTATATGAAATATTGGCTCAAAATATAGTATAGTAAAAGCATAATTGGGTGTGAAAGTGATATTAAAATCTGGATTATTTATTATATACCATATAAATATAACAACATCAATTTAAAATTATTGAACAATTGCAATATCTTATGCATTGAACTTAATTCATTTCAAGAATCATAATATTATTACAAAATCCTATGAAATATTTAAGAATAATTCAGTACTACAGTTAGTAACAAAAAATTAATGCTAGGAAAAAAATTGCTTTAACTATTTGCACCTCCATTATTTTTTCATTTTACAATAGGAAATTAAAAATGATAATGTATCAACAGGTCCTGATACATACTAAATAAGTGATGGTAATTTAATTCATTTAAATACTTTTTAACATTTGCTGAGAAAAAAAGTCATTAAAGAAGTCCTAGGTTAAACATAAAATATTAAAAATACAATTTTCAGAATTATATCAGTAACATTGTTATTAGAAAGCTCCAAACCCTCATTAACATTTAAAAAAAACCAAAATATTTTAAAAAGCAAAACCAATAAAAACTACTAAATTAGAGACTGGCTAAAATAACCTTATAAGAGCTCTGTAAAACAGTGAAAGGTCTAGAGCAGTAAAGAGAACACCCACTCAAGAAAAAGCCACGTTCAACAAATAGGAAATGTATGTCATTTTTATTCACCCTCCTCTTCTCAGTACAGTGCAGTTTTGTTCTAGAGGAGACAATAGCTAAATTCCCAACTCTCTTTTAAATGGAAATGTTTAAAAAAAAAACACAACCTTATTTATAATATTCCAATCTGTCTGGGGCTATCTGAAGGATTGATATCTAACTTGGAGCTCAGGCAAGAGGTTGAGGCAATTGTATAACTTGAATGTCAGGCAAGGAGAAGCAGTAGTGCTGCTGAGAAAGCTGCAGACTAGGAAAGTGATTCCAGGTGGAGTTATGCAGTAGATAATAAGGCACTGAGGAGAATCTGTGGGAAAGTTAAACATTCAAAAGCAGCTGCGTACCCAGGGAATCAAAAGACACACAAAGGCCTGGACAAGATGCATGATCAGAGAAGAACTGAAATACCTTAAGTCTTTACCTGAGGCTGATCCCCAGGATTAAGGAATACCCAAATAATGAGTATTTTCCCATACAAAACCAGTCTGCAAAAACAGGGAAAGTTGGCTTTTGTTCATGCCTATATTTTTCAATTATAATTTACATTCAATATTATATTGTATTAGTTTTAGCTGTAGAGCATAGTGGCTAGAAAATCGTACACTTTACAAAGCATTTGTACTTTTTATTTCTATACCCACCTGGCACACAAATGCCCAATTATGAAGGCATACAAAATCTCAGGAAAATATGGTACATTCAAAGGACAAAATCAATCTGCAGAATCTGTCCCTGAGGACATACAGACATTGGACTAACCAGACAAAGACTTTAAAACTTCTGTCTTGAATATGTTCAAATAGCTAAAACAAACAACAACAACAAAAAACATAGACAAAGAACTAAAGAAAATCAGGAGAACAGTGTATGGATAAATTTCAGCAAAGAGAGGAAAAAAAATTAAAAAGGAGCCAAAGAAAAATTCTGGAGTTGAAAAATATAACAATTGAACTTTAAAAAGCACTATAGGGCCCTGACAGGTTTGGCTCAGTGGATAGAGCGTCAGCCTGTGGACTGAAGGGTCCCAGGTTTGATTCTGGTCAGAGGCATGTACCTTGGTTGTGGGAACATCCCTAGTGGGGGGTGTGCAGGAGGCAGCTGATTGATGTTTCTCTCTCATTGATGTTTCTAACTCTATCCCTATCCCTTCCTCTCTGTAAAAAATCAGTAAAATATATTTTTTTAAAAAGCACTATAGGTATGCAGGTATTCAACAAGTTTAAACATGCAGAAAAATTAATCAGTGCATTTGAAGACATTTAAAATTATTGAGTTTTTAGAACAGAAATAAAAAAAGATTAAAGAAAAGTGAACAAAACCTAAGGATCTTTTGGGATATCATAAATTGGACTAAATATACACATTATAAGAGTCTTAGAAAGTGACGAAAGAAAGAGGCAGATTATTTAAGATATTAATATATATAATTACTAGAGGCCTGGTGCATGAAATTTGTGCACTGTGGGTTTGTCTCTTAGCTCAGCCTGCACCCTCTCCAATCTAGGATCCCTCTCACAATCCGGAACTGTTGGCTCCTAACCACTCACCTGCCTGCCTGCCTGATTGCCTCTAATTGTCGCCCTTCTACCATGTGGCCATCTTGTGATGACGTGAGGATGTGAGGGTCAATTTGCATATTACCTCTTTATTGTATAGGATATTACATAATTAAGGTATATAATTATAATTAATTAATTAATTAAATATGAGAATATACGTGGATTTTCAAATAAAAGAAGCTCCAGAAATTATAAAAAGAAAAATGTCAGAGAACCACATTAAAATGAATTATAATCAAACTATTGACACACATAGACAAAGAGAGAATTTTGAAAGTAATAAGAGAAAAGCAATTTATCATGTACAGTGATTCTCATAAGAATATCAGTTGCTATTTTGCAGAAACCTTGGAGGGCAGAAGGCAGTGAGATGATATATTTAAAGTGAACC